AACTTGAGTGGTGTGAGAGACGCCGTAAAAGAGGGCACGGAAAAGCAGGGAAGCGAGATACAGGTTTTACTGTTGCCCCGTGGTTAGAACTTTCCTGTAGCTAGCCCCCTTGGCCGTTTTGGCCGCGGAAGACTGCCCTGCCGCCGCGGGCACGTCTGAGAGCCACCATGGAGGCTGCGGGGACAAGGCGAGGAAGTCAAGTCCGCTGATCTCAAGCGTGTAAATGCCATGAAAAAGACGTATCCCAAGGTGTTCCGCAGATATACCGACGACTTATACCCCCTTGACACGGTCTGTAATGCAGTCGAGTTCGTCTGCACCCGCCCTTCGGAGCCTAGTATTGTGGCCGTAATCGAGAAGGTTTACGATAACAGCCGTGGACCAGAGTTGGGTACCGTGAGTGGCCTCCAATCGCGCATTGATATGCTTGCGATGGTGGTTCTTTTTGACGGGCTTACTAGTCTGACAACTGGTCCTTTTCATTTAGTTCGGCGGTACCGTCTTCACTGCTGTGTTCCAGAAGCAGTCCGAGAAGGCCCATCGTCCTCGCTCAGACAAGCAGGGCTATCGTCCTGGTGCACGACTTCGCCTCACAGCTGCTCCGTACGCTCTGCAGGGGTGAGAACATCTGGGATCAGCTATACCAGCAGCTCCTTATCGACAAGCTGCTTGAGGCTTGCGAGAGGGCTACGGCCCACGCGTCGTTCCTTCTGCACGTCTAGCGGATGGGCCACCTGACGACGGTCAACCACTACTTCAATGATAACATGCAGAAGAGCCGTAGTAAGCGCATTGCCAACCACTTTAAGGCCAAGGCGCACATCGACAACCGCGGGAATCGGGCCGTGTACGTCACCTCGCTCGAACCCCTGGCCGGCAACAAGGATAACGCGCAGCAGGTGCGCGAGGACATCCTCGATACGCTCAAAAGCTGCTACAAAGTGGCCCGAAAGCGCATCGTCGACTCCGTCTGCCAGCAGGTCGTCTTCCACTACCTCCTCGAGGCGCCCGACAGCCCCCTCCACGTCTTCGGCACTGACCCGATCGTGTCGCTCGACGACGCGCAGCTGGAGGCCATCGCCGGCGAGGACGCCGAGACGGCGCACCGCCGCCAGGCGCTCGCGAGGGAGATTGAGAGCCTAGAGCTTGGCGTCAAGATTCTGCGATCATAAGTATTGCAGCGTCTTCACCGTCTGTGTAGGATTTTTCCGTCTCTCTCTCATTTTTGGGGGATCCACCGAAACGGGCTTTGTATTTGCACTCCGTGTGCCTAGATTTGTCCTTGCAGAGTATCTTTTTCTTGGATGACATTTACTGTCCCCTCGGTCATCTTTCCGCCCATACCTATGGATCGTGTGTGTATTGGGAGGCTACCGTCGTGGGGAAGAAGCTCGCTTTGGCCAGCAACGGGTGTGGAGTCCGAGGAAGAGGCGTTGCAAAAGCCGGACGCGGTCACCCGGATGTAAAAGACTGAAAAGCCGCCGATAATAACAGAAGTGAGCTGGCCTGCTGGCTAGCCCCCGATGGCGACCGAGTATGGCATGCCGTCCTGTCCCATTGTATGATAATTCGTCATGTAGCAGTTTATGCCGAGGCAGATACGTTAATTTTCCGCTTCACAGGCCGAAAGCACAGCCTACAGCACCGAGACATCTCCTTCTGGCTTACGGCTAAAGGATAGTGTTCCCATGGAGGCAACGTGGTTCACGTGAGGGAGCCGGAGATTGGGCTTTGATGCGGCGGAGGCCACCTCTACGCCGCTGACAAGAGATATTACAGACCAAATAGATTCGGTACGTTTCTGTCACCGGACACCTCAGCGGGTCGGTCATGCCGCAGGGTGGCGGCACCTGCACCCTTCCGATTACACCGTGAGACTATCTTTCCGCCATCACCTTGGGATCCTTGCTGGCTTCCTTACAAATACCCCTCATCCGAGCATATAGTCCTTGATCTTCTCATTTCCACTTCCTACCACCTGGAAACACCGCTCCTCGCAGCTGACCTACCCAGTGAATCAATGGTTGGTAGTATTCGCTGAAGAACTCCGCCATGATCTTGTCAAAAACCTCATCGTCAGACACCGTACCCAGTTTCACCTGAGCCAATTCCTCCATGTCGATGTAGTTCCACTTTTCAAACCGCGGAACGACTCTGTCTTGATCTGGGCCTTTGTAGTGAATGCATATCCAAAACAGCACCCAGAAGAACGATTCGAGGTCGTGCATGAAAGAATGTTGCTCGCCGAGAAGCGCACCGATGGCCATAAAAGCCCGCGTGCCGGTTTTGCCCTTTGCTCCGCAGGCGCCCTCCCGTGGCTTTCTGACGGCGAGGTCGAGGTCGATCAAGAAAGAAGACCAGGAGTGATCGTTGTCATCTTCGTTGTCATCCTCGTTAATTATCAGATTGTTGACCGAAATGTCCCGATGAAGGAAGCCAGCCTTGAGCAAGGACTCGTGTCCCTGGATGCAACCCTCCAGCGCGGCAAGGAGAGCCGACCGAGAGCTTGCCTTGTAGATGGGCTTTCCATAGTCACGAAGGATGACACGTCGGTGCATCCGGTTCGATAGTGCGTCGCCGCTAGCCTTCGTTGGGGATGCCGAACAAGATCGCTTGCTGGGGGGAGGGCGGCGCCAATCTGGCTGGATGATCGCTTCTTGCCAGCAGTGCTGCTGCTGCTGCGGCCTCTCTGCGAAGGCCCAGACGCGATTGCACTCGGCGGCGGCATCGAGCGCTCCGGCCTGTAGTTGGTAGCTGTTGTGA